GGCTGCGCGTTTTTTTGCCAAATTCTCTAAAAATGGCATGCTTTTTTCGATGTTACTCAATAGTCATTAGAGCCACAGAAGCCGTTTTCCCATCACTGCATAGAGAGTTAAAAGCCGGATTGAGTAAGTAGAACGTGGCTGAGGAAACTTCGGCAGTTTTTAGTCAAAAACTTGAAAATCGCACATTCAGGTGCAAGTTTTGTGCCAAAAGTTCCTGTTATACCTCAGCCTTTTGATAATATTTCCGGAACAGATTGAGGTCAATTTTACGCCACTGGATAGAGCAGTGAAAGGCGCATTTGCAAAGTAAAAGATCGCAAGATATTGCCAGTTTTCACGGAAATGGGCAAAATTTCAAGTTTCTGAAAAATAACACCGTTTCCACCTAAAAAAGTCCTTTGCAGAACCGTCTACATCCAGACAAAGCACTTCCCCCCAGTTTTGCTCTAGATGACCTTTGAATGGATCCACAACAAACAACAACTTCAGCAACGGTTCAATTTAATAATCAACCATAGAAACTTCCAGCCAAAGTGGAGTTGGGATGCAACATGCTATCAATCAAAGCATTAATGTCGGAAACAAAACCTTCCACGGGCTGCTGGATGATCAAATCCACGATGCTCAGGATAATTCCGTGCAGGAAAACGATCCCCCAGTCGGTCAGAAGGTCGATAATCCAATCCAAAAGCCCCAAACCAGTGAACTCGATCGTGATCGATCTAGAAGCAAACCAAACCCTTAATGTCTTCAGCGTCTAGACGCTTCTAGTTCATACCCAGTGTCGCGCACATCTGCCTTATCAACAAACGCGTGATAGTCGCTGAAGTTGAAGCCAAGATGAAGGTTTAGCTTGAAGTTGGATATCTTCGCATTGATGGCTCCTTTGACGCTGACCAACAGCTGGACAAAGTGGTAGTCGTAGGAAATCTGGAAAAATTGCCAATTTCCCAACAGTTTTAGAAGCTGCCTGCTTCAGTTGCTACCTACCAACAGCTCATGGAAAGCCAGAGGAATGGTGAGCTCCAACACCTTGGTCTCAGTTGAATACTTGACTATTACTGAGTCGGAAACATTCAGAGTGGAAAGATCCACCACCCAACCATTAGTGAGGTTCAGTGTGGTCAGAGGCAGCTAAAACCCCCAGTATTTAACGCTTTAAACAACGAAAATCTGCGCCTTACTTCGATTTCCTCATCAGACAACGCCATGGGATCGAAACCCTGTTGGATGATCAGCTCTTGGATCTTTTCCACTATTTCATAGGCATACTTTGTGACATCGGCCTGGATGAAACTGGCCCTGAAATCGCATTTTCCAGAAAACCCACACTTGCAAACTGATTCTACTCACTCTAGAACTTCGGTTTGCAACAGTTCTGATGCAACAGCTGGCAGCTGGAATGGCGTGATGCCTGGACGCAGCTGTACTTCAGCTGCAGCAGCTGCAGCTGCTGCCAGCACTAGAAACAATGCAGTTTTCATCTTCAAAACCATTTCACAACTGGGCCATCCAATGATATCACAGCTACTTTTAAGGTGCTTCATATCAGCCTTGATCCGCAGTGGCGTAGAATGCAGCGCATCATTTGTTGGTGATTTTTTTCCACTTTTTTGTGAAAATTTCCAAAATCTCTAGTGGCACTGATCGCCCAACAATCAGAGAAGCGCACTTTAGATTGTCGTCAAGTGGTTTGATTGATGGTTTTGTTGCATCATTGATAGTGATTCGATCGACAAAGTGGCCAATTTTGGATGTTTTCGCGATTAAAGTTGCAAACGTC